CAGGATATGACAAAATAAACAATTTATAAATTATCAAGGGCTCATGAGGGAAGGGGGAGCGGGGAGGGAGGGGGGAAATGAGGACCTGATGCCGGGGGCTTAAGTGGAGAGCGAATGTTTTGAGAATGACGAGGGTAACGAATGTAAAAATGTGCTTTACACAATTGCCATATGTATGGATTGTGATAAGTCGTATGAGCCCCTAATTAAAGGTTAAAAAAAAACAAACCCCAAACTCACTGCTTTCAGGCGGATTCCAGCTCCTAGTGAACGCAGAGGACAGGGCAGAACCGTCCCTGTGGGTGTCCGAGACCGAACTCTTCACCCGAGCAGATGCTTCGGCTCGTGCTGAGTTGTGGCTAGGAGCTAACACGTAACCAGGCATATAAAAAACCAAAACCCAAACTCAGTGCCACTGAGTGAGTCCATGCTGACTCACGGTGACCCTTAGGACAGGGTAGAATCATCCCTGTTGAGTTGCCACGACTGCACCTCTTTGGAAAAATAAAGCCCTGTCTCTCCTACCAGGGATATCCACACCAAAACACCAACCTCACGCCAGCAAGTCCACGCCAACTCATGGCGACCCTACAGGACCGGGTGGAGCTGTCCGGTGAGCCCCCCAGACTGTAGTAACTATTTACGGGAACAGAAAGCAGTTGCTGGTTTCAAACTGCTTACCTGTGTAACCACTACACCACCAGCTGGGCTCCTGCCCAGACACACAGGCCACCACGAGATCCAGAAGCTTCATAACCAGGGCCCCCGACAAGGGGGTGTGGGGTGTGCGGGGACCTGCCATGCTCAGACGGCAGGTAGTTTGGGAACAGGTGGTTGGTGGAGTTTCAGCTAAGTGGAGTTCCGTTTTTCATGGCCAGGGCGGAGTATGCGTTACTTACAGCTTCCATCAAGCCTTTCAGAGTCGGGGTCTTGAGCATCAGGGCATCAAAGACTTCTTCGGACTCCTTCCGCACGTAGAGCAGCACTGGTTCCCGGGGCCAAAGTGGGAGGACGACAAGGGGGTAGGGGACACGGCACAGTTAATCCAGGTAAGGGAAGTACGGAATTACAGGGGAAAGGAAGCACAGACATACGCATGAGGGACCACACAAAATCTGCCTTTTGGCCCGGACCGTCGCAGCTGAAGCAGACCTATCGAGGCAGCACAACTGGACGCGATTGGCTGGGGCCACTTGTTTGGTGGCAGGTTCCAAGCCCACTTCTAACGTCAACCTCCCACCAAGGAACGCACAGCAGCCTACCTCTCTTTGGTTCCTCTAGCCGGGTCAGTTTGGCAGGAGGTGGAGCGGCGAAGTCATCTTCTGTTCCGTACGGCCCCCTTTTCATGTTGGATCTGCAACGGACCCAGAACTCGCGCTCAGGGACTTTGGCTTCTGTGTCAGACACAGCACACGCTGTGCCGTTCACAGCTCCACATTTCATGTGTAGTCCAGGCCAGCCTCCTGACTTGGCCGGTCAAAAATGGGCGGCATGTGGGGCTTACTTGTGGAGTGAACCTCACATTGCCTGCCAGAACCCGCTCCCCGAGGAAATGCCTTCACGAGGCTGGGGGTTCCTTTCATGACAACTCTGTGGAGAAGGAGGGGTCTGTGAGGGCTTTCCAGAGGACAGAGCACCCGGCTAACGCAGAACCTTGGAGCAGGAAACACAGGCCCGGGCCGCTCGCCGGAAGGTCTGTTAGGAAGTGCCGTCTGACTTTGTTCCGGGAGAGCTTGTAGGTGCTCAGTGATGACGGATGCTGTGGTCCTAGTCCCGGGGCTCTTTCTAAGTCTGTGAGAAGAGAATGCTCTAACTCGCAGAGTGGGAGGATGGCATTCAGTCCTGGGCCTGCACCAAGAACGACCAGTTAGGGAGCACTGGGAGCACCATGCCTCCCTCCGGCAGTGTCCGTGGGAATGGGGAAGGCAGGACGCTGTGAGAGCAGGGACGTCTGGGGCTCATTGTCACAGGCCCAGAGGGAGGACTGTCCAGGGTCATGCGCACCAGTGCAAGGTAACAAGAAAACAACAAGATACGTGAGGAGGGAAGACAGTGTGTGCCTGGTTTGAAGCAGAAGGAGCCCTCCAACAAGCAGGAGTGGGGCCTGAACAACAGTCAGTCTCGTCTTTAGCACCTGACACCCCAACGTTCAATAGAAGTCTGTGTAGGATTTGTTGCTACAGATGTTAAGCACGGAAATGGCAGGGTTCTCAAGCTCCCACAGCCATGGAGTTGATGCGGCCTCAGCGGAGACCCTGCAGGACAGGGTGGAGGTGACCCTGCAGTAGAACTCTCTGTGGGAGTAGAAAGCCTCAGCTTTCTCCTGCAAAGCAGCCGGTGGTTTTGAACTGCCGAGCTCATGGTTGGCAACCCAGTGTGCAACCACTATACCACCAGGGCTCCCAGGTGGCAGAGTACAGTGAGCCTTTTGAGAAACAGGAGAGCAGGGAGCATCTGTGGTGTATCTGTGCTCAAAGTTCAAGTCTTGGGAGGGGAGAGGAAGGCAGGCACAGAGCTGAGGAAGGCGTGTAGCAGAATTTTTGAGCGTCCTGAATAGGGCATGGAGGACAATGGGGTGTAATCAGGAGGGGAACCCAGACCACAGCAGCCCCCAAAGCAAAGAGGGCTGAGCCTGGAGAAGTGAGCTGGGCAGGGCATGCAACAGGACAGGTCAGGAGAGGGAGGAGGAAAGCCCAGGCCTCCCGTGCCCGCTCAAGTGCACAGCCCCTGCACTGCCTCTGTGGACCCTGTGGACACTACTAGAAGACACTGACAGGACTGCAGAGAAAGGAAGTCTCCACGCAGAGCACCACACGGGGGAAATCCATCATCTCTTAACTCCACCGCCAACAAACTTCTAGAAGGCCCACATACACGTATGAAGTAGACACACCACGCACGCACACAAAGACGAGAATCTCAGGAACCCCTAATGTTAATAGCGGAGTTCGTTAGGTGGTAAAATTGTTTTATTTTTAACTCTCAGTACCCACAGAAGACATCAAAGGGCTCTTTCTACGAAGGCTCCACTGGAGAAGATAGGGAGGGAAATGGCAGGCCATTGTGTATGGAGATCAGGCAGGGAGGAAACCCAAGGGGTGGGGAGAGGATGGAGAGAGAGGGAAAGAGAAAGAGAGAGAGAGAGAGAGTTAGTTAGTTAGTTAGTTCTGGGCTTGGTAATCTACTACACAGCTGAGGCCAGGTGCAGTCCTCAGCTCTTATCCGCAAGGCCGGCACCTCCCTTACACTGGTGCACTTTTTGGGTATCTATCATGAATGAGGTGTAGTAATGCCATGTTGGAGTGCAGAACGCACTGATCTTCCCATTCTCGGCTATTTTGTTTCTAACCCCCAAAGATATAACAGAGGTCGTATTTACAAAGATATATTGCTAATAAAAAGAATCATGGGAAAAAGTTTAATGATGGGTCCAATGTACACTGCCGATGGAAGGCACAGAAATGCTGTGGCAGGTTGGGGACCACCTATCTTACCAACAAGAAGCCACAGTGATGCTGTAGGAATGAAATCTGAGGTCCCTTCTTAAAACCTTCTAAAGCTACACTGCCCAGCTGAGGTGAGGTGGATGGCGTAGAATGCGGTCACCTTTGACTGGTGATCAGCTGGGCTAAGTGCAAGGCCAGCAGTTTGAAACCACCAGAGGCTCCGAATGAGAAAGACGGGGCTTTCTACTCCCGTGAAGAGTTGCAGTCTTGGGAGCTCCCGGGAGCAGGTCCACCCTGTCCCAGAGGGTCGCGTGGACTTGACGGCAGGGAGTGTGCAGCTTCTCGAGGTGAGGACAAAGGGTGAGGGTGGCCGGTGTCTACCAAAGGCTCGAGCCCCCTTGTGGCTGCAGAGGAGAAAGGCGTGGCACAGGCAGTTCCGGGGACATGGTTGCTGCTGGCTGCCATCTTGTCCTTCCAGCTCATAGCGACCCTGTGCCCAGAGGCAGGACAACCCCGCCCGGTGCTGAACCGCCCTCGACACGCTGTGGGGCAGTGTGCTCTGTCGTGTGAGGTTGCTGAGCCAGAAGCGACCAGGCAGCAAGGAACAGCAGGCCCTTGCCACCAAAAGGGACCAGGCCCCTCGGAGCAGAGGCTGGTCTCGGCTGGAGAGGGGCGAGGACAAGACCCAGGAGTGTCTTGTGCCAAAAGCGAGTCATGCTCCAGGAAGGAGCGGGGCATGTCACAGGGCCAGCAGCCTTCTCCCCAAGGGGAACATTAAAGTCAGTCGGAGGCTAGTATGGACTCTTGCTATGTCAACAGCGGCACTGGAAGTTCGATGAGGAATGAGGTGTTTGTAAAATGTCTCGAGGTACCTCCCCACAAACACACAACATGAGGAAACAGAGCCACTTCCGAGTAAGAACCGTGGGAGGCACCTGGCTCCCGGAGTCCCAGTGGAACCCGGGGCAGGGCAGCCCAGCCTACATACATGACCTAAACCCAGCCAAGAGAAGTCAGCAGGCCCACCCTGAGAGGTTGGCAGTCTTCGCAAATGTTAGGATGCTAGAGATTGTTCCAGCTGGAAGGAGAAGGCGAGTGAAGAGAGGGTGAACTAAGGCACACGCTGAAGTGGATTTCTCTCTCTCTCTTTGTAACTAAAGACATCACAGGCACAACTGTCAAAACTTGGAGAGGGACTTAGGTTTAAATGGTATCAGTGCATGGATGATAATGGCCTGATTGTGGCAATTATATAAGAGAATGCCATCAGCTAGTAACTTAGTTCCAAGTGACTCAGGAGAAAAGTGTTTCTTTATCTCGCATTCACAATGTGTCTGTGAGCTTGAGCTCGCGTTAGAGTAAAAATCATTTACTGAGAGGAAACACTCTTACCCTTCACCGTCTAGGTCTTCGGCGGCGATGGGGAGAACCTGAGAACAAACAACACATTGCTTTTCAAAAACACGCTGGGACGTCTCTGACCATAAACACTGTCCCCAAGCAGGCCTGACTGAACCCGACCTGCCCCAAACAAGAGCTCTTAGCCTTGTTTCTTCAGGAACCAGGCTGCTCAGAGCATGCAGACCACTCTAACGCAGGGACAGGCCAGAGCAGATACAAACAACTGTCTGTGGCTATCTCTGTCCTGCAATGCCGAGCATGTCCCCAAAGCCTAGAATATCTACTGTGTGGTCCTCTGTGAAGAGACTTGCCAACCCCTGCCCACTCACCCCAAGCGGCTTCTTCGAAACCGAAGAAACATCCTAGCAGTGGCTTCCCGAGAACTCTGAAAAAAATCACTGGTCCTTACAAATCTCTCTTCCAAATGCATGATATGCCATCTGTATAGTATGTACTTGATCTCAGCCTCGAGACATGCCCGTCACTCTGTCCAGGCTTCTGTGTCCAGTGAGCGTGTGCTACAGAGCGGGGTGTGGCCACCCTTCAAACTCAGCACTACCTGCACTGTGAGCGGATGGCAAGGCAGTCACTGACACCGACCAGGCACAGGGCCCTCAGACGGAGCCTGCGTGAAGGCTGCCCACCCGTTCGCCCACTGGCTCTTCCTGCCTGCCCAAACCCTATCTGAGTTGCCAAGGAATTCCCGTATTCCCAAAGAGATCACATGCGCACGGACACAGAATCAAGCCTCATTTCGTTACCATTCTAGAATCTTCTTTCATGTTACCATTCTAGAATCTTTTGGAAAAGCTAAGAAACAGAATTTAGCAGACAGGTTTGTTACTGCATTTCCAAATCCATGACACTTAAACGTCGCCTGGCAAGGTCATGACGCCATCCATCCGAGTGCTCCAAAGGTCTTACCCTCCCCCTCCATTGGTGGAACCTGGCTGACATTGGCTCCTGTGTCCCACGAGTAACGCCCCAAGACCCTCTCTCGGCGAGTCCCGCCTTACTTACGTGAGTGCCGCGCTGAAGGCTGGCAAAGTGCACGTCGGGGATGAAGAGCACAGGCTGGGTGTCCAGGTCCAGGAAGGGCTTGAACACGGTGATGTCCAGTCTCTTGTGGGTGGGCAGCAGCGGCACCTTAACATCAGAAACTGTAAAAGAAACCGGGGTGGGGCGGGGAGGGAGAACATCGGTCAGCAGGCTGTGGGCACAGGCTGGATGCAGACCCCGGGCCTGTCCCCCGGGGAGGGTACTCGTGCTCCCCCAGCAGCACTAACTCCTCTCTGGGAGATGGGCCCTGGTCCCTGCACTGAGGGAAAAGTCCCTTTGGGTGAAGAAACCTGCTGTGTGTGTTTAGGCCCCAATCAACTGAGCATCTTTTCAAAACCAAAAGCATAGAAGTGTCTCTTTAAACACAGGCCCGTACGTGCACATGCGGAAGACCTGGCGCAGAAGCGAGCCTTAGTTCCTTTTTGTCTGGGAGGCTGAAAGGTATAACAGTAGAAACATCCACCTGGGGGTCCACTTCCGTCAGCTGTCCTAATGAATCCCGTGCATTCTAACAGCCACGCACCCTGCCACTGCAGAGCACCCCGAGCGAGCGTGCTGCAGTGAGCCTGCCTGCCTCCCTCTGCTAGCTGATGAAACTAGACTCCACCTTCCCTCCAGCCTGGCCTCAGGTCCGGCCGATGAGGTTGGCTTGCTGCTCTCTGAAGTGACATGGGAATGGCGTCGGCACTTTGATGCCAGTGGGTGTCACCTTAACGTCTGCTGAGCCAGACGGCCCGTTCAAAGGACGCAGAGCAGACCAGTGCGACGGGCAGAGTTGCTCTGTATTTCCCTGTGAGTTGAGTCACAGTGTTTGGGGTTGAATATGAACATCGGTCACACTATAAAAGCAGCAAGAAAAGCCGCTTTCCTCGTGAACTGTCAGGTGAGAAGAAACGCCGCCCAGATTCCGTACGTGTGACAGACCTACACACACCCAGAAGGTTAAGACCTTGTGGGCTCCCAGCTCTTCTTCCTCTTCTAGGACAATCACTATTTTCAATCTAGACAAGCAGTTAGTTATCAGGTAGAACGTGTGTGTTCTTTTCAGAACTGGGACTGCAACCTGAGCTCGCACAGACAGCCAAGAACTCTGCCTGACAAAAACCTCAAGAATATGAGGGGTACCCCCAAAACCAGATGTGATGGGAGGGGGACAGTGCATTTGGAGTTCGTTCCACCAGGTCAGACAGTCAGTCACTTTCTATTTAGAGGTTCTGAGGAGATGGCGTATGAGTGTGCGACAAAACAGGTCTGATTCGTGGCAGACAGGGGACTGGTTTTGCCACCACGACAATGCACCTGCTCACGCAGCCATCTCAAAGCACCAGTTTTGGGGGGGCACAAAACAGCATGCCTCTCTTGCCTCACACACCTTACTCACCTGACCTCCCTCTGTGTGACTTCATTTTGTTTCCGTGAATGAAGAGGGACATGAAAGGACAGCAATTTGACAACGTAGAAGAAGTGAAGAAACAAACTGTTGGAGGTGCTGTCAGCCATACAAACAGATGAGTTTGAAAAATGTTTCCAAGAATGGAATCACAGATTTGACCAATGTATTAAGGGTAACTGTGTGTCCTTTGGAGGTGATAAGGTTGTTTTATAAAATAAAAAAAATTAAATACATAGCTCTGGAAAAAAATTCCGGTTGTTTTTGGGTACCCCTCATACTTCGCATGGTCCCCAAGAAAAGGCTCACGGTTCAGCACTCCTGTTTGCCGCTGTTTGGAATGGGAAAGGCCTGAGCCACTTGGCGGGGCATCTCTACTTACAGGCACCCCCTGGGAGCCGGGGGCGGACACTTGCCTTTTCTCTTGCTTTGTTTCCGCTCCTCGTCCCGGATTTTCCGCTCCGCGCCCTGGGTGACAAGAGAAGACGGGTTTCTGTAGGTCTGATCCCCTTTGTAACCCTGACCCTGACCCTCTCCCCGTCTCTCCGCTCTGGGGAGGATGTTCATCATGGGGCATCGCCTCTAAAAAGTCTAGTACCAATAATTAATAAACTAATAACTGTGTCTAATGGTAGCAAATCACAGGGAAATAGTTCTGCCTGCTTCAGCAAAGACAGCAAACTCCCCGAGACTCACGGATGTGGCCATGCTCAGTCTACAGCGGGAGGGTCTGTCACCCTGCCTGCAGTCACTGCCCCATGTCCCGTTCAAGGAAGCGAAGGCCTCGTGTGACTACACGCTCCGATGGGCAACATGGGGGTCACTGCGGGTGGTGACTCTGTGTCTGTTATTAGTCATCAACGTGCAAATAAGCACCATGAAACAATTACTTTGATGGATTTACTGACGTTTACTTCTGAGCGGCAGAGATTCCAAACCAGGAGTGCGTCATTTCACCTCTAAGTTCCGGAAGCAACTTGCCACTCCAGGTACCCTGAGGGCAGAGGTGGGATGAGATTAACAGGTCTCTCCGGCACCAGTACCTTCAGGGCTGTGCACTGACAGCAGGAAGGAGGCACGGAAGTAATGCCTATTTTCAGGGCCTTCCAACGAAAGCCACAGGCCATGAGGGCTGAGTTCAGGGTGTGCACTGGCCGGGGCTACACAAACCACCGCTGGAAGCAGACTCCGGATTTCTAACCAGGGTTCTTTCTGTGTGATGGTTTTTTGTCACTTGACACTGCTATCGGCCCGTGGTTAACCAACAAACACGGTGACTGACTGGCCTATACATCTGGCACGGAGGCCTCTGATCCTTTACTTGTCATAAATAACGGCGTGAGCAGGAGATGGAGCCCTGGGCTGTCCCAACCACGTTCTCTGGTTGGGACGCTGAAGAAAAAGAATCTGCTTCCTAGGATGCAATCACACTGCAGTTGTGAAGCACACACACAGCCAAGGGAACTGGTTTCTAAGCTCTGTACCAGCACACAGTACAAAATAACTTGGGACTGTTTGTGGAAACCTTTTCCGTGTTTCGGTTTGTTTGTTTTTTAATCCACAAATCTTCCTTGAAGCCAAGTGTGTTGATGAGCAAATCAGCTTCCCTGTGCATCGTGCATGCGGTCATTACCCGCTGGCGTGGGGAGCTGTAGGTCATGCCGAGTCAAGCCGGCACCTCTGACCCATCCACAGCCTGGCTCTCAGATTAGCCGGCACACAAAGATCAGAAAGGTCGACAAGTCAGAATGATGCTGTTTGCTGAGTCAGATAATAACAGCAGTGGCTTGTCCTGGGCATGGGGGCCCTGCTGGTGTAGTGGGTTACTGGTGGGACTGCTAACCCCGAGAGCAGCAGTGTGAAACCACCAGCCGCTCTGTGGGCGAAAGATGAGGCTTTCTACTCCCGTCAAGAGTCACAGGCGGAGAAACCCACAGGGGCGGTTCTACTGGGTCCTCTGGGGTCACTAGGAGCTGGAACGGCCTCGTGGCAGTGCGTGTGGCTGTGTTGTTTGGTACCGTGTATGACTATTTTGCTTTCTTCCTTCTAACGGTTTGTTCACACTCCCCTTCTGCTGTATAGAAAATGACATTCAGGACAGAGTGACCCCAGCCACGCTGGCACGGGAGGGCGGGTGGAGCCTGACTCAGAGACCCCTGTGGAGTTGCCAAGACCGTAGATCCTCATGGAGGAAAGTCTCATCATTGCCGCATGGCTGCCGAGTGTGAGCCTCTGGCTCGGCAGGTAGCAGCCGACATTTACCCGATGGGTCAAGAATGAAACAGGGTCCTGCTTCACAGTGGAGGTGCTATCAGAGCACGCCAAGTGTCCACTGCAAACTGCCCTTGACTCGGAAAGGCCTTACAAGAGTGCTGCTGGACACAGCTAGGACCCGGGAACGGCTGGTCTAGAGCAGGCCTCTGTTGTGTTCACTATTCAGTATCAGCAAAGGTGTTTTGAAATGTAAAAGCCCATGTGACATTTGGATGCTCGAGTGACGGGGTCAAAAGAATATCAAAGGAAATTATTTCCTACATAGACAAGAGACGATTTTTAGAACTAGCAGATATGAGCATTTAAAACCAGAAAACCTGAATGGATGAAAGTAGCTTCTCCCTAGCTTTTTATGGTAACAAACAAAAAAAATACAGAATGCGTCCACCTAACACAGGGTGCATTCCAACAGTTTTTCCTGCCGTGTTCTGCTGACTGGGAGAGGAAGGTGACGTGGAATAGTGCCTCCTGTTCCCCACTAGGGCGGAGCTCCCCACGTCAGACACCGCCTGTGGGAATGCGGACTCACCGCCCCGCATCCCTGGAAGGGGACTATTTTGGAGGTGAGGTGACCACGGGGAGGTAGAGGCGCAAGGAGGAGGAGGCTGCCAATTGTGTGGCTTTCCCAGGAGATGGTCTCGGATCACTGAGTGGGCTTCCAGTGCAATTCTGGGGCCCCTTCAATGAGGCAGCCGAAAGCAAAGACTCGGACACAAGAGGTGAGGACTGGGAGCCTGTCGGAGGACCGGGTGCCATGCGCCATGTGGGCACTAGCCGTGGCGGGTTTTGAAGGTGGTGGGAGCCCGAGTGGCAAGGCAGCAGACACTCCCCTAAAGCCTCCAGTGGGAAGGGGGCCCTGCTGACCCCTGGGCTTTAGCCCAGCAAGACCCGTTTGGATTCCTTGCCTGCACAGCGATAGGATCTGCGCTGATCAAGCCTTGGCATTCGAGCAGCACAGGAAACTAGAGGGGCTTGGTGATGCTACCAGGTGGGGACTGCATCAACACTGACTGATGGGGGCGCCTGAGCAAGCTCTGAGCTGGGAAGGTGTCCAGTGCCTTCACGGCGGTCAGAGGCTACGCTCGACGGACCTCATAGGAAGTTGGGGTGACGGCAGATGAGGCGATCGGCCCGTTCTCTCTAGCTGTCAGTTGCTGAGTGTGGTGGAGTTGGCTCCGAGTCACAGTGACTCTGGGTGACCCTGGGTAGGTCAGTTTAACGGGGATTCCTGGGCAGAAAGCTCTCTGAGAACACATCGTCAGGGCTTTTCCTCCCATGGAGTGGCGAGGAGGTCTGAACTCCCAACCTTGTGGTTAGCAGCCAGCCAGAACTGGGACTACCCGTTCAACTAGGGCTGCTTCCCAGGTGCCAAGAACACATCTCCCTGGGTGTGCAGGAGGCAGAAGTGAGAGGCCCAGGCAAAGAGGGCTCCAACAGTGGCCGCTGGGGACAAGTCCCAGGACGTTAGGGGCACGCACAGCCGGGCATGCATCTCATACCCGCTCCCTTCCCGCCCACACAACCCACAGCAGTGCTGCTGATCAGCCCGTCTCATCTCTCCGCTGAAATGAGATTCTCTCTCCACCTGACACAAGGTGACGGCAGCCATTCTGCTCATTTACAACACGCTCTGTGACACTTGCGGTGGGCTCAGCCTGAACTCGCTCATGACCCCGCTCTTCTCTCTGTGAGGCAGCGGGTGGGTCCCTGCCACCCCTTCAGGCTCAGCGACCGTGCTGTCTTACCTTGTCACAAAAGACCTTGATCTGGCAGTAGGCCCGGTGCACAGGCTTGTTGCTCCGGTTGTTGTAGCTGTAGGTATCGATTTGAATGTTCAGAGGCAATCCCTTCACGCCCTTCTGAGAAGAGAAGTCTGTGCTTAAGCAGTTCACGGAGATGAACACCTGCAAAGTGATGAGAAGTCCTAGTCAACAACAGGCACCAACTGCCAACCCGAGCGCCCAGCAGCCAGCTCTCTGTCGCCTGAGAGCCCACGCTGACTCACGGCAGCCCTGCGGACAGGGCAGCCCTGGCCCTGTGCGTTTCCAAGACGACAACCGTCTACAGGAGTCGACAGCCACATCTTCACCTGCAGAGCAGCTGGTAGTGGTTTCCAACCACCGACCTCATAGTTAGCATCCCAACCCGGAGCCACGGGGGCTCCTGCCAACCAAAACAGAGGGTGGAAATATGGCATCCCTGAAAGGATGCAAATATACTCCCAGTAGGACTGAGCTTCTCGCTTCAAGTCCGTTTCTCACAGGCTAACAAAGATTCTCTTTTGAAACAGCCTTTGAGGGCAAGTTACTGCTTGGCGCGGTGGGGCACGTGCAGCACCCGCTCACCACGGGGATTCCTGTGGTTGATGTCACTGACTTGTACCTGGCTCTAGTCGTTGTACAGAAGGTCCCTCCCCGGGTCGCCCGGGGTGGGGGGTTGTTCCTGCCTGCTGACTGAGAGGCCGGCAGTTTGAACCCAGCCAGTGGCACATTGGTTTCCCTAATGATGACAGCCCAGAAGGCTCTGTGAGAGTCACCACAACGTCTGGATACAGTCACAATAGAAAAAAGACCTTCGATCACAGGCAGGGCAGACTGCAGAGGGGGTGCAGGAGACGGCAGCGCTGAGCCCCTGCTAATTTCTCCTCCGGGAACACTGAGTGAGGATCAGCCACGTCAGCTGAGAGTGCCCTCAGCCCCGCGGTCTCCGCAGCGGTTTCACAGTCCACTCCAAACTCGGGAAGGGGCGGGGGTCATCTGCTGTGATGGTCGTCAGCCGTGGGCTAGGTTCTAATGTTGTAGAAGTTATGAAATCTGCATAATTCAGGTCCACAAGATTACAAATCTCAATCCACCTGCCCCTCCCCCTCCAAGTCGGTCTCATCCGTCTTTGGACAGTGATAAAACCAGGGTGGATCACTGGGAGATTCTACCCAAGTCTCAGTTTTGTTGCTGGTTGACCAAGCATCTCTGAATTGACCACTCTACCTTTTAGTTTGTCTTCTTTTTAAAAATGAGAAGAAAGGTGGGGGTGTAATGAAGCTTTCATGTGAGTCAATGTCATTGGCCTGTGCGAAACAGACGCTAAGGTGGTAAACTTTCTAATGTTAACGAGAACTCCGTGCTCGGGAAACAGCCACACTCACATGGTCTCCACTCCAGACGGTTAGACAAAGACGGGTGAGCTCTCCGGGGAGGACACTCACCCAAGGAGCCACTGTGCTTGGTTCTATTTCCCAGAGAAGGGAAAAGCCCAGCGATGTAAGCACCAGACAGGAGCTGCGCTGCTCAACCACAAGATGGCTCGGAGAAGACGGTTTAAACAGGACTTTGTCTATTGTCACCGAGGGCTTCAAAGCCTGTGTTCGTCGGCCGGTCAGTCCCTGACCCACTCAAACGACTGTTCCAGAGCGCAGGCAGCTCCAACGACGGCTCCTTTCTCTTTCCCCACAATTGGACAACTGTTCTGCTGACAGTTGACAGCTTTCCATTGTAATTTAGGTGAGGACTGGCGTCTGAAGCTCGGCACCCACACGCACTAAGTTTCTACTCCGCCCTTGCACCTCCTCCAGGGCCAGCACCCGAGTCTGCTCCTCCTGGGTCTGGTTTCCCGTTTCGATTCCTCTTTCTGGGGAGCCCCTGGACTCTGTCCTTGGGTAGATGCCCCATCTCTCGTCTTGAGTGGGCGATTTCTCTGCCTCACTTCCCGACCTGAAGGGAGACTCGTGGAGTAGCCTGGGGGCGGGGGGTCCCCGCTTGTCTGCCTCCAACCAGCGGGTCTGGTCTCTTAGGATGCTGAGCGGTTTCCTCAGACACTACCAGGATCTTTGCAGGCGACTCTTCCCAGAGGACTTGGCGGTGGTCTTGGGGCGTGGAGACCTCATGTACAGGGTCTGTGAGGCCATCATGGCACCGATTGTTTCCAAGGGGCTTTGGCTGTGTTCACCCGTCTTTCCTCCGGACCAGGGCTGCTTTAGGCCCCAGGCACTACACTCACCCAGCAGGATGCAGTGTCTCTGTGACGAGGTTGACGTGGCCCCCACTTGGCGGCGGTGACTCCCTTGCATGCTCAGCCAGTCACACGGCACACTTGCGGCAGAGGTGCCCACCGACGGGCAGCCACTGTCTACACACCTCTCTTCAGCCCCTTTCTGTCTGCTGAGCCTGCACGTCTGTCCAGGGTTTGATGGGCAGCTCGCTGCAGAGGGTGGGTCACAGTGCTCCCCTCAGGTGCCTGCAACTCCCAAACAGCCGGGCCTCTGACCCTGTTTCCATCACGTTTTGACCCCTCGCTCCCCCTGCAAGTTAACATTGGTCTGCCCTCTACCCTGGGATCCTCCCTCCATCCATCCCTCCCTGCCTGCCTCAGCTAGCCATCAAAGCCTGTTTCTTTGAGTCTGAAAGCCTTTCCTGGACTCTCTGTAACGGTGGCTTCATACAGCAGTAGCCCGTGTGCCAACAGGCTCTGTCCCTCTCACTAGCCCACCCCTCCCTCGGCCATCAAGCTAGAGTTTAACCTCTGCCCTCCAGGTATGGAATTTACTTCTGTCACGCGGGCACCACACAGTGGCTGTTAGTGGAATGACAGCTTCTAAGAGGAAGGTGGGTCTATGTCAAATGTCTTTGACATAGCAAACCATTTGACAGCAAACCATTGGGCGAGACAAAGCTCAAAGGCGAAGGCCTTAGCCCTAACAACCTAAGGTAGGTTGCCAAAGTGTGAGCAGGCGCCACTGCCTGAAAAGGGGGGAAATCAGCAAGAATGTCAGAGGTACGAGGAGAAAGGAGACAGACGAGAAGGGTCCAAACGGATGAAATTTCTCACCACGGCGACAAGAATTCTCTCTAGGAACGATGCAGTGTTGACCAAGTGTTTTACCCTTGGCTCTAGTCTATAAGCTGCTTTTGAGTCTGAAGAGACATAAAAGGCCCTAAAACGATGGTGAAACTTGTCCAAATTCACAAATTTGGAAGTCTTCTTTCATCTTGTCCCTTGACAAACGCTCCACACAGAGTGGCCATCTCGCTGTCCCTGGGCACTCCCGTTCACTGTGGCCTCGCCCCTCTGCCTAGCCATCCCTGCTCCTCTCCCCCACGTCTGGCTCCACTGCAAGTCCCAAGACTCCATGCCATGCGGACCTCAGAGCCCGCGGCACTACCCTCACTTGCCCGTTGCAGAAGGAGCCCTGGCAACTTTGTGGCTAAGCGCCCAGCCGTCCCTCTGCCAGAGGAAGATGCAGCAGCTGGGCACCTGCTGAGGGCAGTGCAGCCCTGTCCAACATGGGCACAGGGAGTTGGAATCGGCGTGGCAGCATGGGGTTTGGTTTGGGTTGATATAAGGCAGAGTGATGTCTCTCTGACAGATGAAGCGCGGAGGCAGAAAGAAGCTGGGGTTAACAGTGAGGACTATTCTGCCCTTTGTACTCTCTTGCCTCTCTTTTCTGAATTAAATGTTCCCTCGACTCCTCCTCTGGTAGGGTGGCTTGTGAGTTTGCGTGTGTCTGGTCCATTTCCCTGACTAGACTAGTGCTTGTCGGCTCTCTGCCGAGTGCCGTGGTCAACACTTAGCACAGGGCCTGAGCTCTGCCGTCAGGGGCCACTGAGCTGGTTCCGACCCACGGCAACCCTTGCGCAGCAGAAGGAAGCACTGCCAGTCCTGTGTCGTCCTCACAACGGATCCCGTGCCCGAGCCCTCTGAGGACATGTCTAGGATTGCTTTCTCTGGCTGGCTGGCTAGTTTCCCTTCCCAGTTAATAAGCAAATTGCTTTCTACACATGCAGACCTAGGTCAGAAGGGGCACACACGAGTTTCTAATCTGTTCCTAAGACTGCATGCTCGGACCTCATACGCTTTCCTCCTGACCACGCATGCTGTCGAGAGAGGCCGCCCGCCCGCCCGATGATGATGCTGGGGATGATGCTGGGACGGGGCAGAGGGCTGAGGAGACAGCGCTCAGGAAACACACTCGGGTTTGGAACAGGACCAGTCTGTGCCAGCCACTGAGGACGTCTCCACCGTCCCCATTTCCACAACCAAACGGGATCCTGAACTTGGCCCTGTCATTCCCGGCCACTGGGCTCGGTTCCCACCTCACAGTGATCCGCCTGGGAAACAAGCTAGCCCTCACCCTCGAAAATTCCAGAACGTCTATGACCCAAACTAATGCTCCCCTTTGCAAGAGGATTTCACAGGAATCCAACCTGAAACTTAACCACCCCCCAACCACCCCCCTTACTTCCCAGCTTCAAGTTTCTATTCAAAGCCCAAAGAAGCAGGAGCCAAATCCCAGGATCAGTGTGCACAGGGACTCCTCCGAAGGACCTGGCTCTCATGATTCACAACCATCTGCAGTCTCGTACTTACAAACATCTCTCCCACCCAGAGCTGGCAGTGCCTAGATGGATCAGTGTTGACATTCCTAACTTGGCATTAAAAATACCACCCTGCTTGGGTGGGCACACTGCCACACACCAGTCAAGGCAGACACAGGGTGAAATGCGTGCATACTAGCCTGGAGACCCCAGGGGCTCCTGGGAAGGGCGGCGAGCTGACACCTGGGATGAAGACAATGGGACTGGCTCTCGTCGCCGTGGGATTGCCGTGGGAACAAGGTGAGGAGGAGAGCTGACGGGAGATGCTGGCTCCAAACCCGTTCAGCCAGAGCCCTCCTTGCCAAGCCCTGATCCAGACCATTCTCTGAGCTGTGCAGACCCTGGTTCCTCCTCAAAGAGAAGCAGAAAGGTATTATCTCCCTTCTGCAACTGGATATTTTTATTTTCTACATAAGCGACTTCCTGACAAAACAGCTGGTGTGAACTTCTCCCTAGTACAGAATTTCACCCACGGAAGTGCGTGCGTGGTGTTGTCAACATGGCCTACGCTCCCAGAGGGACTGGGGCAAGGG